GTAGAATTTCCACGGCGCCCTCCACTCTCCTCTCTCCCCTCGGCCCCCATTCCCTGTGTCCTGTGTCCTCGGTGTCTCCCCATTCACTGTTTCCTCTGCCTCTCAGGCACACCTGCCTTCACTGATGCCCTGGTTGCCTCTTCCCTGGCCCCTCCTCCACCTCCTCACAGCCTCCCCCTCCAGGCTCCTCCCTCTCTGGCTGCCACACTCACCCCCCTCTGACTGCATCTCGTCCCTCTCTGAACCTTTGGTAGATCCCCAGCACCCACTAAGTTCAAAGATTTTAGTTCAGGATCCAAGAGCCCCAGCCTCTAGTCTCTCTGTCTCCTCTCTTCCACCTGCTCCCCCATCACAGAACTTTTATGCCAGCACACCGACCCCCTTTTCTTCCCAGCCTCCAGGCCCTTGCTCATGCTGTTTCTCTGCCTGGAAGGCCTTCCCCAGACCGTATCTTTTTGATGTCAAATGCTGTTCTTTCAAGGGCAGGATCAATATCCCCTCTTGGCTAAAACCTTGCATTATCCCTCCAAGCTGAAGGGACCTCCCTGCCTGACCTAGATTTTCCCATAGTACGTATCACTTTCTGTCCTATGGTGTTATTTTTCTTTAAGTACCAGCCCAGCTAGCCTCTAAGTACCTTGATAGCGAGATGCCGCTTATTTTTTAACTACCCCAAGTACCAAGCAGAGTGGTGGGCACTGAGTAGGTGTTTAGAAGAGGGTTGGCAAATGGATGACAGAATGCACCTCTTTGGGTCCCACACGCAGGCTGCTCCTGTCCCCGGAAGGTGGGGCGGGCCTGGCCGTTACCCCACAACCACATGCCACCCCTGTCCGCTTTGTTACTAGGAGTATGCTTAGGCTGTTACAATGAGCTGGAAATGAGCCTTTATTTTCCAGGCTCTGGAGCAGTTTATAGGTAGATAATAAAAAGAGCTTTGTGCCATTCATGGGGGAGATTTGTCTCTTCGATTTCATGGATAATTATTGGCCTATTCAGGTTTTATATATTTTCTTGAGCCAATTTTGTTCATTTATATTTTCTTAAATTATACATTTCATCCAGAATTGAAACTTTTTTGCTATGAAACTGTATATAGTTTTCTCTCAGAATTAAATATATGTCTAGATCCATAGTCATAGACCTTTCCTCGTTCCAAAGGCTTATTTAGTCTTTTTTCTCTTTTGTCTCGGGTAACAATTGCTAAAAGCTTTTTTTTTTTTTTTAATTGGTCCTTTCAAAAGTCAGCTTTTGATTTTTAGATATCTACTACTTTTCTTTCCTCTCATTTTCTTAATTTCTACTTTCATTGACGATTTCTTCTTTCTTTGGTTTTATTTTTCCTTTCCTAGCCCCTTAATTTAAATGCCTAGATAATTTTCAGTCTCTCTCGTTTTTGGAAGTGTATTTAAAGCTGTAATTTTCCTCTGAGTACCACTTTGGCCTCAAACCAGAGGTTTTATTATTGTTCATTGTTGTTCAGTTCTAAATTGTAATTTCTGCTTTGCTTTTCTCTTTAGAGCATTATAGAGCAGTATAGCTTTTTAAACTTCTAAGTGGATAGTTTTTATATTCATGTTGCTGTTAATTTCTGAACTTATTGCATATAAGCAAAACATAGCCCATGTGACATTTGCTTTCTGGAATTTGTTGAAATTTTTATTTATGACCTAATATGTGGCCAATTTTTGTTACAATTTCATGTGTGTTTGAAAATGCTTATTTACTGTTTGAATGTAAAGTTTGTTCTCTCAGATTAAGTTTTGTTTTTTTTTAAGTTTACTTAAGTAACTTCTACACCCAACATGGGGCTCGAACTCACAACCCTGAGATCAAGAGTCGCATGCTCTTCCGACTGAGCCAGCCAAGCACCCCTCTCAGATTAAGTTTTAAAATTGCATTATTTAGATCATTACTTTTCAGGGGGCCAATTGTTCTGTCTCTCTAAGAGAGGCCTGTTCAAGTTCTCTCATGGTGATTATGGGATTTGTCTATACCTACTGTGTTTAAAAATCAGGTTTTTATCCATGTGTATTTTAGGCAACATTCTTACATGCTTATGACTGATGACTTTGGCACTTCTTGGTGCTTGTACTTTTTCCCATTATAAATAAATACATTGGTTTGTCCTGTTCAATGCATTGGCCTTGAATCCTATTTTGTGGATGCATGTGGCTGACATATCCTTTTTTACCCTTTCACTTTTCATTCTTTCTGTGTCATTTTGTTTTATATGTGTCTTTTGTAGTAGCAGACAAATGGATTTTGTATTGGGTGTCTGCTTTAATGGGTAGATTTAACCCGTTTGCCTTTACCGCTGTTAGTCATAGTTAGGTTTACATCTGCCATCTTCTTGCATGTCTCCTTTTTTAGCCTTCTGATTTTTGTGTAGTTTGTTTTTGCCTTTTGTTGGATTGGTCCCATTTACTTTGCTCTTTTTTTTTTTCCCCCTCTGATGACTAGGAACTTTTGAGTTTTATTTCTAGTGGTTATTCTATATACATACATGTGTTTGTGTGTGTATAATTCTATTTTTTCTATCAACATCTGGATGTAATTATTAGTTTTTAGCCTCTTCCCAAATGAGGCAAGAAATTTAGTAGTAACTTACTTTTTCCCAGCCCCTAACCTCACATATGGATCATCATAGATTTTAGTTCTATTGTGTAATGACATTTATTTAAACTTAACTCAGGTTTGGCTGTCTTCCTTGTTTATCATTGTTTATAATACCACTCATCTTTTTCTTTCATGGATCTATTTTTCACTCTGCTGAAGTATTTCCTCCAAGAATTCTTTTAGAAAGCATGGATAATATTATTTTTAAGGCAATCAATATGTGAAGTAACCATTTTCCCTTTCCAGAGGGTTTATTTTGACTTTCAGCTCCCCATTGAATTGGGTTTTTAAAATTCTGAACGATCATATTTTCACATATCCTAGATCTCTAGTTTTAGTTTTGGACAATACACACCTTCAAAATCTGTGAATCCATTAATTACATATCACCTGAATGTCTTCTGCTGTTCTGTTCACCTTCCCATCCCTTCAGCCAAATCTATGACATTTTCATCTGTTTTGCCAGTGGGATTTATTTAGTTGCCCTTGGTCCTTACCCAATGTGACACCAACTTCCACCAATAACCTTCAGCTGGCTATATTGTTCTTCACAGTATGTACTCCACCAGAAATTATATTACCCATTCATTTGTTCGCCAATCTTTTTACTAGATTGTGAGGTCCAGGAGAGCAAGGATTTTGTCTCATTCACTCTGGATCTATAGTGCCTAGAACACTGCCTGGCACATAGTAGGCTCTCACATATTTCTTCAGTGAATGAATGAATGAACAAAATTGGGTAGACTTCACATTCATTTATTCATTCAGCTACTGTTTGAGTTCTGGTGTGCCAGGTTCCAAGCAGACCAGGCCCCTACCTCTGGAGCTGACAGTCCAACTGAGGGCCTCTTAAATGGGCAGGAAGGACAGTGTGCCATAAACGGTCTGTACAGGGGTAGGGAGAGTCCCCGGGAGCTCAGGCAGCAGAATGCAATGAGTCAGAGTTAGCTGGCCAAGGTAAGGGGAGCAGGAGAGGAGGGGTGGTTGGGGGATGGCCTAGAGGTGGAGAGAGCACCCCAGGTAAGGAGAACAAGCTCTCACCAGACCCTCCTATAAGGGCTTCTTTGTGTCAGGCACTGCTCCAAGGGTCTTAGTATTGTTTTTAAAGATTTTATTTATTTATTTGACAGAGAGAGAGAGAGCACAAGCAGGGGGAGGGAGGCAGAGTGGCAGGCAGAGGGAGAGGGAGAAGCAGACTCCCAGCTGAGCGAGGAGCCTGATGTGGGACTCGATCCCAGGACCCTGGGACCATGACCTGAGCTGAAGGCAGATGCTTAACTGACTAGGGCCACCCAGGTGCCCTGGGTCTTAGTATTTTAACTTAAAAGAACCCTTAGGATCCTCATTGTGGAAACAAGGGCACAGAGAAGTGAGCTTGCCCAGGATCATACTCTAGGAATGAAGAACCAGACTCAGCCGAGGATCTGGCTCCAAAATCTAGAGCCATCAGCTCCACTGCCTCCAGGGAGAAGGAAAATGGGTCTGTCAGAGAGTAGAGTGAGCTAGGAAATGGGAAAGGCTGGATGGTGAGCAGGGGTTTGCAGGATGCTGAGGGGCTTTAGCAGGCCTGAGGGGGTCAGGCCCATGCATCTCAAAGGAGATCCCCCAGCAGTGGCTGTGACCACTCTGAAACAGCCTGGGGGGAGGATTTTATCTCAGCAGGAAGGAAGCTGAAGGAGTGTGGGCTTCAGGAGTCCACGGGGTGGAGGGAGGGAGAGGAGGATGGATGTGTTGGGAAGAGAGCCTTTGCTGAGATGGTTTCCCCTCCTTCTCCCCAGCCCTTCCTACCACCCTGTGACAGCCCCATCCTGGGGCCAAGTGATCCTGGCTCTCAGAGGCCTCTCCTCCCCTGCGGCCTGCCTGCTGTCTGTCCACACAGGGACTGAGGACCCTACCTGACCAGCCTTTTCAGGGCTTCCCCAGTGCATGTCCTGGGGCTCTCCTCCCTAGAGGCTGCAAGGTAGAGGCATTGTTTCTATCTTATATAAGAGGAAAGGGGGCTCAGAGAGTCAGGTAACTTCGCTAGGAATCAGTTTGTAAGGACCAGCAGGGATCCAAGTCCGGGTGTGGGGCGCCCAGAGGGATTTTGTGGCAGAGCTGATCACTGGCTTTATGAGGCTTTTCTGTAGACAGTTAAGTCCCAGGGGGCAAGTAGGTTGGAATCAGCAGGTCCACAAATGAGTCTGTTAGGGCCTCACACGTGGAGGTGTGAGGCCCTGCTGGGTCCCTTACACCTCAGCCCAGGAAAGTCGTGCAGCCTCTCATGGGGCCAGCTTGGCTGGAGCCACCCTGGGGACAGCAGAAGCAGCATGGGGGTCTGCAGGCCATGGGAGCTCCACCGTGGGTGGTGACAGCCCCTGAGTGGCCTCATCCCACCCCAGTTCTGGACACAGCTGGGCAGGAGGAGTTCAGCGCCATGCGGGAGCAGTATATGCGCACGGGGGACGGCTTCCTCATCGTCTACTCGGTCACGGACAAGGCCAGCTTCGAGCATGTGGACCGCTTCCACCAGCTCATCCTGCGCGTCAAGGACAGGTAAGGGCAGCTGGGCCAGGACGTCCTAGCTCCTGGCTCAGAGCGGCCTCTGTGTGTCTGTCTGTCTGTCTCTCAGAGTCTCAGGTGAAAGCTGAAACACAGAGGGGCAGAGCTGAATTCACACACTGGTCCCTCCGCCTCCTACCCCAGCTCTTTCCGCAGGGCCAAACTGCTTCCAGGGCCTTGAGTCAGCCCCCTCCCATCTCTCCTAAACAGTCCCCACTGATGGCCCCAATTTAACCAAATTTTATCACGTTCAAAGAAAAAATGAATTTCCTCTCCAGTATGCGTTGTAAGTGGTTACATCACATTTGACTGTGAGATTTACAAGCCCCTAATTAAAGGCTCATTTTTTTTTCCTTAGCATTATATGGAGTAATTAAATAATTTGTAGTTTCTTTTAAGCCTAACTGGTCTTTTCAGTTAATTGGCTCTTAAAGAGGCCACATAGAGTAAAAGGACAAATTAATAAAGAAAACAGCAAGCTTTGAACAAATCTCAGTAAATTCAGAAAAATCCAGTTAACACCTGTTCCAATGGCAAAGTATTAATAATTTTACCAGGTAAAGGGATACACACTCACATATATACATAAAACTCAGAGCCATAGATAGAAGTTAAGCCCCTGACTATGGGAATTTCAAAAGAGAAAACATAAATGACTCCGAAGTAGGAAAATATTCAACCTTTTGGCTAACCCAAGTGCAAGGGAAAATAATAAAGTATTATTTTTCACCTGTTAAATTATGAATTTTTTAGATGAGAATGCCCAGTGATGTTAAAGATGCTGTAAGACTGGCATTTCTTTCACCTTTGGACAGCAATATGGCCACATGCATCGATGGGACTCTTTTAAGGCCCACGTGCCTTGTGATTCCACCCTTCCTCTCCTGGGAGCCATCCTGCTTTTGCAGCTGCCATTTACTGAGTGCCAGCCATATACCGGAGACCGCCCTGGGGCTCTTTCCCAGCCCCTGCCGTTGGCCCGCAGCAGCCCTGCATGGGAGGGAGATGAGCGGGAGCAGATCCAGGAAGCCAGCCCCCTGCCCAGCAGCCTCTCGGGAGCCCTCTCTGATGGTGCTGAGCCAGGGGTTTCCCGGGGGGGGCAGGGGGGACCTCTTTGCTCTCCCTGCAGTAAGCTGAAACCTCCAAACCAAGACGTAGTCCCAGGGGGCCCCCTTCCCCTGCCTGGAGACGCGGAGGAAAAGGGACTCAGGAGTCAGCCTCAGGCCCACTGGGGAGGCAGCGTGGGCTGCCTTATGCCTGAGGTGTGGCTGTGTTGCCTTCAGCAGGTGTGGGGGCAGTGAAATTTCATGAGCTGCTATTCCTTTATTCCCCAGAGAGTCCTTTCCGATGATCCTTGTGGCCAACAAGGTCGATCTGATGCATTTGAGGAAAATCACCAGGGAGCAAGGAAAAGAAATGGCGACCAAACACAATGTAGGTGGCGTGCATGCGGGTGTGTGCACGTGTGTGTAGATGTGCTGGGCAGTCCGGGTTGTGTAGAAGGCTGTGCCCATCACTCCTGCGGGACCTCGGGCCTCCTGGGTAGTGGGTTAGATCCTGCAGAGAGGCCTGGCAGGGCGTAGGTGATGAGGGCTATGTGGTGAAACAAAACAGCAGACCTGAGAGAAAGCACCCTCTTCTCGGTCGTGAGGAGCTCTGATGGGGGGTCCAGGTCCCTTCACAGTGGCCTGTGAGCTTGGTGTTCAGGCCACCTCCTGGCCCCCAACACAGCAGATTCATCCCTGGGCTGTGCAGAGGGCTGGCTTCTATCGAGTTCTCTGAGCCAGCTGCCTGATTATGCTCAGAATCATCGGACCAGCGGCAGTTCACCGAGCCCTGTTCTATGCCAGGCCTCGTGCCGGGGAGCGATCACTCCTTACCACCACATGCTGAGGTAGGTATCATGATGCCCATCTTACAGTTGGTCACACTGAGGTTTGCCCAGGCCGCACAGTGAATATCAGTGGACATCTTTGTTTTCTTTTTTTCTCAGTTCATTGTGATGCCCCTTTGCCCTCTGAATGTGCTGGGTGGGGTCACCGGGCTTCTTCCCACCCCTCCCCCACACAGGCACAACCCAGGCCCCTGGCCTCATGGGTCAGTTATGTAGAAGTCCACTCTGCCTGCTGGGAGGTCTGCTGCAAGGCTGCCCCTTCCCTCTGCCCGGTGGGCCCAGCTCTGTGAGTAGAGGAAGGGGGCTCACTGCAAGTTACTTATGCTTGTCTCTGCCTTCTGCGTCCATTCACATGTTCGTGTAACTGCCCTAGGCCCTGGGAAATAAAACTCCTGGCTTTATGGTGCTTATTTCTAATGACAGGAGACAGATAATAAACCAAGCAAATTACAGTGTGACATGTGCTATGGAGAAAAGTAAATCAGGGAAGGGGGTCAGGAATGTAAGGTGGAGGAGGATGCTTTTCCAAATAGGGTGGTCAGGGAAAGCCTTGCTAGGGAGGGTGCATTTCAGCAAGGGCTCACAGGAGCCGAGGAGGAAGCCCTGCCGATCTCTGGGGAAAGAATGTTCCGGCTGCGGGAATAATCAGTGTAAAGGCCCTAAGGCAGGAGTTTGAGGATCGGCAAGGAGGCCAGCTGGAGCCGGAGTGGGAGGGGTGGGGAGCAGGAGGCCAGGTCAGAGAAGGGCTTTAAACTTTATGGGCTTTTGCTCAGAGGGAGAGGGGAAACCACTGGAGGGCTATGAGTGAGGAGTGATGACGAGGTCTGGCTTATGGCTGCACAGCTTCTCTCCGGTGGCCATGTTGAGAAGGGCCCCATAGAGGTCAGTTGTGGGAGCAGGGAAACCAGTTAGGGGCTGCTGGCTAACCCAGATGCAGGTCAGCACGGCCCAGGGTGGTGCTGGTGAAAGTGGCAAGAAAGTGGTTGGATTCTGGACGTGTTTCTAAGAAAGCCAACAGGATATGTGCACAGATTGGATGTGGGGTGTGAGAGAAAGAAGGTGTGGCAGGTGATTCTGTGGTTTGGGAGCAACTTTCAGAAGACCAGGGTGTCGGTAACTGGGCAGGAGAGACGATCGGAGGAAGCGTGTGCGAGACAGGCGCTTGGTTGCAGATCTGGGGAGGTTGAGGAGCTGAGGGGATAATCGGATGGAAATGCCAAGGCGGCAGTCAGATACAGCATCTGGGGCAAGTATTGGCAGCAGCAGAGTGTAGATGGCATTTGAAGCCATAAACGCCAAGGGAGCAGGTGTAGATAGGGCAGGGGTCCCCGGGCTGAGGCCAGGACACTTCACCTAGTGATGCGGGGAGGTGAGGAGGAAACCACAAAAGGGCCTAGGCTGTGGGTGACACATGAGGGCCAGAGTGGGGCGTCATGGGTGCCAAGTGAAGAACATTCCTCAAGGAGGAGGGAGTGATCCACCAGGACAGCGCTGCCCCACAGTCTCCAGAGGAGAGCTGGAGACTCACTGCTGGGTTCTGAACAGAGACAGGCCTGAGGAGCCAGCTCCATTTCCCAGTCTCAGGGTCCCTCAGGCCTCTCACAGACACCTCTGTGCGTCCCTTCCAAGCAGCGGCGGGGGTGGGGGGGAGGGGGTCCAGAGCGGAGGCTGCCTGGTCCCCGCCGCTGCAACCTGGGCCTCCAGTCTCTCAGCCACGTTTCTCCTGCAGCAAATGCCACTACCTCATTTACCATTTGACCAAGAGACTCTGCGAGCCACTATCGACAACATGCTATTTTAGAGCTCATAAGGCAAGTTCCTCTTTAGTTGCCAAGGCGGGCGCCCCACCCGGCGCCGGAAGGTGGCATTTCCTAGCCCTGTGGTGGAGTCAGACGGTGCTACCATTTAGTGCAGCATTCCCTTTAATTTAAGTCTCCTTGCTACTGAAACCTTAGAATTCCAAGAACCCAGATAATGCACCCCAGCCTTTCTTCAGTGGTAGAGGCAGGACCCCCAGAAAGGAGGCAGAGGGCGCCCGAGGACCTGGTGGGTGGGGCGGCACCAGCGGCGGTCTGAGGCCCCTGGAACTGTGCACCTGCTGAGCCGGCAGGGCCACAGCCTGTGAAGGCGGTCCCAGTGGGTCCCAGCCCCAGCTACAGGCACCTTCCTGCCCCTGCTCTGGGTGTGTAAAAGGAAGCACGTTGCCCCGGCCTCACAGGGTATCACAGGACTCTGGCTTCTAGGCCCTAGCAGGGGTGCCCTCCATGCCTGGGAGGGGCCCTGAAGCTGACCTCGGCACCCCTAGCTGTCCATGGGCGGCCAGGCAGAGAATGGAACAGGCACCTGCTTCATACCTTGATTCGCTGCCGGCTGTGATGTGGCTCTGGGCGAGCACATCACCACTCCGAGCTCACAGTGCCCCCCGAGGCACAGTGGAGATACTTGCTTACCTCCGTGGGTGAAGGTGGGGATAAAGTGAGCTCAAGAATGTTGAGACCTGGCAGGCGAAGGGCCCAGAGTCGTCTCAGTCAAACAGCCTACAGTGGAGGGCAGTGTTCTTTCAGTATTATCAGAGGCTCGAAGATTGGTTGGATGACTATTTGAAAAGTCTCAGCCTTGCTTCGTGTGCTCTGCCCTTTGCATCTAGCCGGCTATGAGACCTCTGCCTGTAGCCACAGCGATGTGCGACGGTACTTTAGGATGTGTCCTAGGCAGTCGTTTACAACATTCTCCTCTAAAGTAACAGCTCACCTTGTCACCACCACCCCGACCCATGCATTTGCACTGCTGGTCATTTTTATTTTCTTCACTGGGCTTTTCTTTTTTGAAAGTGTTAAAATGAAATGACTTAATTTTGTAACCAGGAAAAAGTTATGAAATACACCTGAGTTCTTCAGGCTGACCACAGTTGGCCTCCCTCTCTGGCCTGGGGAAGCCTGTATATTTTGCACAAACCCCACACTCTCTCCACTCAAGCAGGTGTGGGCACAAAGCCTTCCCGTCTGTGCGGGGTCCCTGACGCAGGAGGAGAGGTGTGCTCAGAAGTGCGTCCTGACCTCACGTAACCTTTGTCCTCCTCCCTGTGCCAGCCTGAGACTTGGGGTAGACATGGCCCTCAACACCTGTCCTGTGGGGGGCCACCTCAGCCACATCTGCCGGTGAGCTGCTGTCTTTCAGCTGGGGTGATGATTCCTCAGTGTCACACGTGCAGACACAAGCCCTCTGTGAACGTGGCCAAGCTCCCGGACTCGTAGATGCAGACCAAACAAGAGCTGAGCCCGGCAAGCCTGTTGGGGGCAAGGAGGCACAGACTGGCTAGGGGTCACCAAGGTGCAGCGTCCTGCCTGTGGCCCAGCCTCGCTTCAGCCTCTCCCTCCAGAGTCCGCTCTGGAGGGCCCGGGAAGAGGCAGAAGTCCCCTCACAGTGGAGAAATAGGCCTCAGAAAGAAAAAAGAATAGCATCAGAACCTATTTTAGTTTGATAAATGAAACAGTCTTTAGTCTTCAAGTATGTAAAAAGATCTCTTTTTTTTTCTATTTTTAGGGGTTTATTAAAGATCTCTATGACTAGAGAATAAGAGGGAATTAGACAAGCTGTCAAAATTTTCCACCCTTAAGGAGCAAGATGCCACCAAAGGGCTTGAGGTTGTTGGCGCCAGGGTTCTGTGGGGGTCTCTGAAGGCAGGTGGTTCCTTGGGACCCCTGACAATCTGCAGTTTTAGGGAACGGGGCTTTGTGGACCTCAGTGCTACTTTTACCAAGTTGAGCTTTGCCTTCCAGATTCCGTACATAGAAACCAGTGCCAAGGACCCACCTCTCAACGTCGACAAAGCCTTCCATGACCTGGTTAGGGTAATTAGGTGAGCATTGCACGCTCCCCCAGAAGCAAGCCCTCTGCAGCAAGGTGGGTCGCCGGGAGGACTGGAGGGACGTGGCTTCTTGTTCCAAGGCTGGGGCCATGCAGTTCTGGGCCTATTTTGTATTTCTTAGCCCTCCATCCATTTCTTTTCCGCGCCCTTCCCATCTTCCTTTGCACATACCCCCTCACTCCTCCTACCTGTGGGGGAAGCCCGGAGCTAAAGGGAGGTGCCTTCCCGCCTGGGGTGCTATAGCTCAGGCTCCTTACGGCCTCCTCTCTCCTCTCAGCTCCACAGCTCAGGCTCCCTCCACCTGCCTTCCATGTTCTCCCAACACCACACCTGTCAACACCATAGGAAGTAGGTCCGTGTCCTCTCCACTGCCCCGAGGTCAGAGCGCCCCGTGACAGTTCACCTGAACCACCACTGTTCTGATTCCTCAGCTCAAGTTGCTGGGGCGTTGCACATGCACCCGCTTTGCAGACCGCACACACTGCCAGGCTCCAGGTGTGGTTGGAAAGCCTCGTCAGCGGTCTCGCTGCATTCCTTTACAGTCAGGGTCCCAGCCCTAACCGCCTCGTGCTTAGAGGGTGCCACAGCTTCCCGGTGCTCCCCTGTCACCCAACTGCCCATTTCCAAAGTCTGCACCGTGCGGAACAGCCTAACCTGTGGTCCTCAAATATCAGGCCCTTAGTGTGAGGCCGTGTGCTGCTGAGCTCTACGGCTGTCGGTCAGTCGTGAGCTCACAGGCAGGGCCCTGGCAGAGTGCTTTCCCCCTGCTGCCTGTCGGCGCCCCAGGACACACACATACACACACATACATACACACACACACACAGCCCTTTCCTCATCAGTCCCCAGTGTGCACTGTGATAGCGCAGCGCTCACTTCATAGCTGGTGGCTCTGCACTTGTGGAAAGGTCTTCTCCTGGGCATTTTGCCTCCCATTGGGGTATGCGGTCCTGCCAGGAGCTGGTGGTATCTTGGCTATGGACCTGTAGTTCCGGGGCAGGCTTTAGACATAGGAATAGTTAACAGAAAACATGAAAAAAACATTTGGACTCAACGGGCTTGTCATTTTATTTAAAGTATGAAACATAAAAATAGAGGCCAGTACTGAAGAACACATAATGTAGTTCACGATTTAAAGAACTGCAGCCACAGCGTGATGTCAGGAATTCTCCCCAGCAGGGCGACAGGCTTTGCCCTGCCCTCCCTGCCTTCCCACTCTCTCTGCCCCAGAGACAATTGGCCAGGCCAGGCCCTCCTTCAGCGTCCAGAACAGGCCTGCCGCCTGCACACCCAGGGCCCCAGGAGGAGAGGGGCAGGGAGAAGCAAAGCCCATTCTGACTTTGTTTTTCTGCCTTTCCCTGACTCAAAAGGCAACAGATTCCAGAAAAGAGCCAGAAGAAGAAGAAGAAAACCAAATGGCGGGGCGACCGGGCTACCGGCACCCACAAACTGCAGTGTGTGATATTGTGACGGGCCTGAGGCCCTGGCCATGGTGACTGTGAACTGGCCGGCCCTCGGGGCCCTCCACTGCCTAACCGCGCTGAAAACCATTTCTAACCACGACCCTCAGCCCGAGGACCTGGCTCAGGAAGGGAGGAAGGGAGGGTGGGCAGGGAGGAGCGAGGCTCCGACTTTGCCAGAAGGGCACAGGCTTTCCCACGTCTCAAGAGAGACAGGGAAGCAATGCTAAACAGAAGCAGCATCCAAGCCCCTCACGTTGACTCAACCCGGTTCCTCCCCATCTCTCGGTGGCTGTTGTTTCTTTGAAGTACACAGTATTAGTGTGATGTGGAAGTATGTGTCCACGGACAGAGTACCGAACAAGCCATGATCCACCCCCCACCCCCCTGCCCCCAGCCCAGAGTGTCTGAGCCGGGGGGGGGGGGGGGGGCGGGCGGGGAGGGGCTTTTGTAGATTTTTAAATTATTTTAGTGATTATTATTTTATTAAGGGGGTCTGTGCCCATGGACTGGGGGAGCTTCAGGGCTTCAGCAGACCTCTCTGAGAACACGTCTGGAATACTGTTGTTGTTGTTGTTCGTAACTGAGTTTTCCCAGAGTGCCAAAACTCAGGTCAACATGCAAGTGGAGGGACCAAGAGCGCGGACGTGAATGAGGATGGTGGCCGGAGGCCGCGGGAGGAACAGCCCACTCCCAGGCTCCAGACCGGACAGAAGAGAGATGCGCTCACCCAGAAGGTTTTACTGTGCCCGAGGGTGCAGGTGTTAGGAAACGGAGTTTTATTTTGCTGAGCGGAGAGGCTGGGGCGAGCATGTCCGTTTTCGGAAGGGTTTTCACGATCCTGGACATGCATAAGTTAGGTCAGCTGACTGGCTTTGCAAAAGCGTCCGTTCACTTGGCCGACGGTGCAGATTGAGTTCTGTGCTCTGAGGGCTTTCCCAGATCTGTCTCTTCCTGCTTTTCCACCGTCTGTGCTGCCTCGCGCCTCTTGGACACAAACACGCGGACGTGGGCATGTGTGTCTCAGCTCGGCCCAGTAAGCTAACGTGGACGCCATCCAGAAAGCTCTAGTTCATGCTGAATCTTAACCAAAAACCATCCAGTACTGTTGTTACTAAGACAGCACCAAGACCTGAAGCCATTTTCCCTTTGAGTCCACTGACTACGACTTCTTAAAGCCCAGTAAATAAGCAGACCCCGCTAAGCATTTGCAAACTTAGGATTCGCTTGCCTTTCTGGCACACACTTTTCTTAGCCTCTTGGATCTTAACCATAACATATAATTAAAGGAGAAAGAAAGGTTGGGGTGATGACCTGGCCCCCATACACCTGTTTCTATAAGGGGACACTCCCCCAACTTCCTGAAGATGTCACTTCCTTCTCAGGTACTGCTGGTGGGATCCAGAGACTGGCTTTTCCCAGCCAGGGAGGGTGGACCACAGGGAGGGCAGCAGCGACCACAGTGCCCACCCCTCCAACAGAAGGTCAGAAGATGAGCTCGTGACCTCATTTTCCATTGACAAATCAGATCACTAGGCAAACTAGCGCATCCCTAGCAGGTGGCCTGGCTACTCTTTAGAGACAGAAACCCCGAGAAAGTGAGCACCCCACAGGACCTGGAGACACCTGGCATCTTCTCTGGTTTTGAAAGCGTGCTGCGTTCCTAACTCAGCAAGATCACCAGCACCAGGGGGCCCAGCCAAAGAGCGATTCTGTGTCGAATGAAATCATTGGGACTTCAGTTAATTGGAAAATCAAACTTCTTTATTTGTCTCTATGGCCTTTTTTCCCCTGACCCTGAAAGGAAAGATAACAAAGATCAGGCACTTCAGAGTGTCCCAAGGTCCTATAATGTTAATGGGCATTTTAAACACTAACAGGACACGGCTCTTTCGGACCCTTCTGCTCCTCTGAGCGGAGTCTGCTGCAGCCCCATGTGCAAAGGAGAGGAGGAGGCGGCAGCAAGAAAGGCGGGAAGAAGTACGGAGGGAGAGGCTTCGCAGCGAAGGAATGGTGGGGTGGCAAGGGAAGCCGAGCACCCAGGGCAGCGGCCACTGCTGGAAAGCTGCTACTGGGCGCGGACTAGCACCAGCACGCCCCTGCCCCCCTGCCCTCTGCAGAGCCTGCAACTCCGTGGCAGCCCCGAGTGGGCAGTCCTGTTGGAGGCAGATCAGCTGACCTAGAATGAAGCCCTTAGCCATGAAGGTAACCAGACACACGAGTTCCATCTGCTTCTGGCCCCTCCCCCAACACGGGCAGTGCTTCTGCCCACCCCGGCCGCATCTTCCAGGGCACATGTCCTGCAGTCAGCCCGCAGCTCAGCTCCACAGTGCTCGAGGGACAAACTTGTTAAGGGAAGGCCGGCTGCTGCTGAGTCAGGGGTCAGGCTTCATCTTCCATGACCTTGTGTTCCCCAGAGGTGAGACAGATGGATAACACTTTTCAAAGACAGTTCTTCGTGTTTTAGGGAACTGTGGGCCCTTGTAGCAGTGGGGGCTTCCCAATAGGCCAGAATGGAGTGGCCCCTGGGGCATCCCAGTACAGTAGCTTCTCCATGGTCACGTGGCATGGTCAGTTGGAACACCAGTTGGCCATACTACTCCATGACTGAGGAGTCCAATGGGACTTGTGTCTTTGGTGACATTTTGGTGTTTCCACTGGTTTTCCAGACCACCTGAATAGTGCTACCTTCACATCCCGTGGAACACACCCTTCCTGAAATCCCCTCACCCCATGCCTTTGCCACTGTGTGCTCTGGAATTTTCTCCTAAAATTTTGACACCCCCCCCCAATTAGAGGGCTACTTTTCTACCCAACAGGTAATCTTAGCCATCTTCCCCACCCCTCCAGCTGGGAGCTCTGGCCACTGACTTCTCCTATACTTGGCCACACAGGGGTCACTTGGATGGTTTCTCTTAGGACTTTGACCCCACCTTGTGTTGTTTGCTGTGGAGAGTGCCTGGTGGCCTAGTGTGGCCAATCACACTTTCCCAGGAGACGTGACCCACTAACACATGGCAGCTCTGACCCAAAGGCCCCTGAGACGTGTGACGGTAAATCTGGAACCACAGACAGATTCCCTCCATTAAGCAGCCCATTGGGTTAGAAATTCCATGTTGGGTTTACATAGACCAAAAGCTACTTGAATTGTTGAGCGCCCGTGAGCGCACAGCTTTTGCTACCCAGTATTAACAGATGGCCATTATTGTGAAACGGGAGTGATGCCTGAGGGTCTCGATGATGCTTGAGCCTTTTATGTAACTTTTTATTAAGTCTTTGTGTATCTCAACTCATTAATAAAGAAAAGAAGAACACTTGGCCTATTTCCTCTTATTCAGATATTTCTACACTGTTGCTGAGAATGTTGTAAGTTGTCCGTGTCTGGCCCGGAGCACCTTACAGAGCAAACCTAAAGTAGAGAGGAGACTTCTGGTGGCCATGAGGAGGGTCTCCTTCCCACCTGGAGCCAGAGGATGAGGGCAAGTGAGCGTGGTGATTAGAGACGCAGCCTCTTGATGTCTGGCAGCCCTGGGTTCGAGTTCTGTCACCGACCTTTACGTGCCTTAGAGCAAGTTCCCTGTTTCAGTCTCCAGCTGCGCTGCCTGAGGACCGGATAATAGTGTGCACCCCCTAAAAAGACTGAGGACTGAAGCTAAGCTGTGATACAGATCTCAGAAGTGGCGCTCTTTGTAGAGGACACTGGGCTGTCTGACGTTGCTTTCCATGGAAAGAAACTGCCCCCTGCCCCCATGCACAAGATCACAGTCTTTTGTACAATGTGATTTCATTTCTCTGTTAATTGAACCTGGTGGGTACTTGGTCAAGTTGAGTCTCTCTGGGTCGTTGATTCAGGGACTAGAGACCAACAGACCATATCCCTCTCTTGGAACGTCTTTGGGGAGCCATAGCTAAAGCATGTAGACCCAGGGGCTCCTCACCCCTTCTGGGCTGGGAGCAGACTAGTGTAGGCACAGTGGTGTGGTGGCCACTGGGCCTGGCTGTCTGCGCATTCATTCATTCTGCACGTATTGATCAGGTGTTGGGCTGGGTGCTAGGTCCATGGTAGTGAGCAGAGCAGACGATCTTCTGGTCATCAGTTCTCCTTTAGTCCTGAATTAGTTTCCTGTGGCTATTGTAACAAATTACCGAAAACTTAGTGGCTTAACAGAGAAGTTTATGCTCTCACAGTTCTAGAGGCCGGAAGTCCACAAACTCAGTGGGCTGAAGTCAAGGTGTGGGCAGGGCTGCGCTCCCTCTGGAGGCTCTGGGGGAGAACCCACTCCTTGCTTCTTCCTGCTTCTGGAGCTTCTGGCATTGCCTGGCTTGGGGCCATTTCCCTCCAGTCTTCCAGGCCGTTCTCCTCCCTATGGCAAACCTCCCTCCCTCCAAGCTGATGCTCCCTCCTTCACTAAGAAAGTTGAAGCCAGCTGAACAGAATTTCCACAGCCTCCTTCCACTGCCTCCACCCACCGCCTAGCATCTGCACCCACACACTCTGCCTTCTTGGCTGCTACAGGCAGACCATCCATGCTCCTGGCCGAAGCCAGTCCCTTCTCATGGGTACAAGAACACGTCCAGGACCTCCCTCTGGCTCTCCACCCCCGTCTCTTCGGCAGCATCTGTTCTTCTCTCTTGGATCTTCCCCATCTTCAAACAGACAAGAACAAAACTTTCCTTTGACACCGACCTCTGCCAGATACCTCTTTCTTCTCTGCTGTCTTGTGCAGGAAGCCATCTTCAAAGGGTAATCTACACTCAGTCCATGAATTGCTCTCATTCCTTTCTCTTTAAACTGCTCTAAACAGACTTTCACCCATCGTTCCACCCCCAGCAGCCTTCTTCTCGGGGTCAGCCGTGGCTTCCATCTTGCTAAATTCAGGTAGCTGGTTCTCAGTCTTTTCACACTGGATCTTGTTGCTTTGGCACAGTTTATCACTCCCTCTTGTTCACCTTTCTTCCATTGGCTTCTAGGATGCTGCCATCTCTGTTCTTCTCCTTCCTCGTGGTCACTCCCTAATGTCTTTTACTGGTCCCCCCTCCTCTGTTGGAGCACCCCAGAGCTCAGTCCTTGGTCCTCCACCTACCATATGATCCAGTAATTCCATTGGTTATTTATCCAAAGAAAAGGAAACACTAATTCAAGAAGATGTATGCTCCCCTATTTTATTGCAGCATTATTTACAATAGTCAAGATATGGAAGCAACCTAAGGGTCCATCCATAGATGAATGGATAAGGAAAATGTCACATACATGCACACGCACACGCACGCATGTGCTCACAATGGAACATTATGCAGCCATAAAAAAGGATGAG